CTTTCAGTACCGTAGTCATGCCTCAGTCCTCTTCCTCTGAGGACTGCTTTTTAAAATAGCTGCATTTCCTCAACCTCAACGCTTTCGAACTGGTAGCTGCTTCAAAGGGAAGAAAAACATATTGGATTGTTTGGCTGATGAAATTTGAGTCATTTTGACTTAATTTATGACATTCGGTTTTCATCTGATAAAATTTAGTAAAATGTGAGAGTATTTTCCTGCTATTACGATATAACGTTATTTGAGGCTACAACAATATGATTGACACTGATGTGACTAACAAGTACTAAGCAGTGAATCATACTGCTTTGATTAATTTAATTGCTTTTGACTCTGTCTAATCAGCTTGCTCTATTTCCATGAATGAATCATATTCATTTGTCTTTTGGAAGCTACAATTACTTGTGTTAACTTATTGTTCTTCCAGTGTGTATAAATGTTCCCTTGTTTGGTTTGTCATAGACGATTTGTGACCCAAAAACATGAGGATCTGTTTTAAAGGGTTCATGGAATTTCTTGAAGAATACACAGAAATAGTGAGTTTGATGAATCAATTTACTTTGAAGGAAAAACATGTTCTCTGTGAATATCTTGCTTTTGGCTTGCCCAAACGCGTTTCTGCTATTTCTTTTTACGAGAGAGCTTAGAGAAAGAGGGCTGTCATGTTCTTTCCACAGTGATTCTGCACCCATGCAGTAGATGAGACAATTTTACCACCTTACACCAGGAGACAAGCCAGATTTTACTTATCCCTCTGAATAAGAAAACTTTTGGCAGTTTCTGTGTTAAATTAGCCTTGTCATTTAAAGACTAGCTGGAAAAATCACCCGCTATCCTCAGGCTAAAGGAGGGATCACGGATGACTGCTTTAGCAGTACGTGCCTCAGAGCAACAGATCTGCCTAGGTTAGAAAGTTGCATGGCATGAATTTGGGAACAAAGACAGGTAGCTGAAGTTTAAACACGACCACTTGGTGGTTCTTTGTCCCTGCTGCTTGGCACACGTGTAGGTGCTGTAATTGTACTTCGGCTGAAAGAATCCGTCTTGATTTCGTGTTCTCTTTTTGAAAGCTTGAGAGGAATCAGAGGTGGAGGAAAAACTCTGAAGTTTATGGTCCTCAGACATATATTGTCTGCAGAATCATGAATATGCACTAGACTGCAAAATATTATTCTGAAATGAAATGACAAGCGTTTTGTCAGCAAGATGCTTGTTCGTGTCTTTGCCATTTGTTTTGCTAACAGTTCACCTATTTCTTTTCTGTTTGTTCTAGATACACTGCAAATACACTAATGTTTACTGTGATCATTGTGAGAAAAGATATTTTGCTCATATGGAATAGCTGAAATGTGTGAAATTACTTCTACGGCACTGGAGGGGCAGGAAGTACTCTTCTATGTTATCTATACACAGAGGAAGTTCTTCGTTTGGCTATCACAGATTTACAGTTCTCATCCTCACAACTGAGGCCTAAACAAAGCTATCCTGAGTTTGACTTTTTTCTCTCATTTCTATCTCTGTAGCTAAATTCTTTATACAAATTTTAGCAATTTGTAGTCTTCCTTTAACTTTCTGTCTGCCTCACTGTTTGCCGTATCTCCAAAGAGCATCAACTTTTTTTTGACAAGTTCTGTTGACTGCTTAAGATAACAATATTGGCTAAAACTTATTCATTATAGAACTCAAATTGTTTATGTGAATCAAGCCATATTAGCATTCAAGTTGATTGTTTATGTGGTTTGCTAATGGCACTTCTTTTGATACACATACGGACCAGAGAATTAATAAAAATGACTCTAAAATAAGATTTTTCTTTTTCTTGGTTTAACATCAATGTGAAACAGCCAATGACATGACAGAATAACCGTTAATCAGTAATTCTTAGACCTATGTTATCAGGAAGCTTAGCTGTTAAAAAAAATGGACAGTAAAATAGGAGAGATTAGAAGAGTAGTTCAACTTTTCATAGGCAGTAAAGTTAACACTATTAATACAGCATGATAAAGATAGCATGATAGATCATTATCTTGATAAACTCTAGGGTCAGAATACTTTGTATTTGCAAAATAAGAAATACGCTTTTGTTGTTGTTGCACAGTGCTATCTTTATCCATTCTCCTCACATTGAAACACTCTTTTAATTTCCTTAATGCAGAGGAGTATCATTTGAATATTGTCTAGTGTTTTATAACACATTTTCCTCTCTCATCTCCTTTCTTCCTTTGTCATCTTCACCAAATATTTCCTCAGGAGGTTGGGGTTTTTCCATTCATAAATCTCCTATGATCTGCAGAGTCCAAACTTCTGTCTTTGTTGCATAAACAAAGTGACTTTAACAAGTCGGTGGACAAAGACCAGTACTTGCCATGATCAGACTAGGAAAAAGTTGTTCAGGTTCTGGTGGCGTTGATATCTTCTTTCCCACATAGATACTTACGTGCCAGGGCCATCCTCTTTAACACAGAATGAGTGATGCAGGTTTCCAAAAAGACTATAAAATTACAAAGAATTCATAAAATTAAACAATAAGAAATCATTCGTTCTTTCACAAAGAATGATGTCCAAATTGTGACGGAAAGTAAATTCATCAATTAGTTCAGGAATTAATACTATTTAGTTATCAACTAATAGTAGTTATTAGGAAATGCTATGAAAATCCATTCAGTGCTACCTTAAGAAGATAAAGGCCATAATTTGGAATATAAACTCTATAGAGATCAGCTTTTTTGAGCACAGCATTCATCTCAGTCTGAGCATCTTCAATGTGCAGTGAAAAAGGCCTGTCAAGATATAGGCTCCTTTTTTTCACTTCCATTTGTTTTTCCATATTGTTACTCCTTAAAGTATCTCAACAGTTACTTAGGTCATGACAGATAACTGCACTGAAGGGAGCCCTAAGTGTCTCTATGCTCTCTGTCTTTCTGCTGCATGAGATTTTAGACACTTAAGTACTACACGCAGTCTGTTTGCTTAATACCATATTATGAGCCTGTGCGCCACTTGTTTTTGGGAGAAACAGGTTGGATTCTGAATGTCAGCCCAGAACAGCAGAGAAATCTATGCACAGCAGGCAAGAGCGAATTCACCCTGGGATTAGAACATAGCCTTATCTTTGAAACTTACATATAGGAGGGATAGGGACTTAAAGCAAATGCAACTGAGCAACTCAGTTGCTGTCTAACTGAGCAAGTTAGACAGTTGTACATGAAAGCAAATTTGCTTTTCAAAATCGTACTGTGACTGTCAGCTGGGATATATGGCTTTCTCCTTCTGTGGAGGATACTTGTAATATCAAAGAGAATTCTGTGCATCTGGGAATAACGGAATATTGGTCTCAGAATTTCCCCCTGATATTGTGCCTCCATTTTGATTTTCAGTAGTTATAAATATTGTTAAGAGTTTAAAATATGGAATTTCTTCCAGAGAAAATTTCTTATGAATTTGAAGAACTTAATTCACTTTCAGATGATTCCTTTAGTCCAGGAGAAGAATGGGAACAAAAGTGAAATATTGCATAAAAACGTGTTCCTTGTTATACTGAGAAAGCTAGAGGAAAGATTTACACTTTGTGTTATAAATATAGCCTGAAAAATAATTGCATGTTTCAGAAGCAGAAATATACTATCTGAGCAAGCGTCACGTCCTAGTTAGAGGAGGTTGTATAGAGTATTTCAAGTGCTTGAAGATTGCAGTGAAGCTTAAAATATAATTTGTATTGGAATTTATATCTTTTCATGACAGAATCCACTAAGTCAGATGCTAGCTGTAATGAAGATTTGATATTTTATTGTGAAAGTACTTCAGTAATCAAATTAGCAGGCCTTTGCAGAATGCTGCTTCACTAGGTAGGCCTACTGAAGCTTCAGGAGTGTGAAAAGCACTCGATAAGGTTCTTTGCAGATTGTGCTTTTTTCTGTTCCCAGTATATTAGGGACTGAACAAATTGCTTTCTAGAGTAATTTAAAACTCTCCATCATGTGCTTTTGGGAAGAAGCTTATCCTGTCATACAGCGTATGACAGGAAACTTGAGCTGGCACCCTGCAATCTATTGGAAAAGCAGTAAAACAATTGTTCTCTACCTGAAAAATATGGCGGAGTTTGTACCTCAGGTACATTGGAGGGACTGATAAAGCATCACGTGTCTGTAAACGTGGGGAATTGAAGCTGTTACAGTACAGAGAGCTGAGGAATAGAGGACGGGTAGAATCCAGTCCCTGAGTACTCCAGCCACCCCAGCTGTCCCTCAGCAGCATCTCTCTACCTTCTCTCACCCCGTATTTTGTGAAAGGGTCTCCTGTAAGCAGTGGGCTTAGCAGAAAACAAGATCTGTGCATGTAAACTTCAGGTGGATAGACTCTGCACAATATCTCAAAATATTTTACATCAGGCTGATTACCCTTCCAAAGGATTCGTAGTTGCAGGTATGTGTCGTCTTAGTCATCCTTCAGCAAAACTGTGTCACAGAGTTGTTTGCATTTTCCTTGTTCTTTGATGCTCAGTCAGTTTGCATCTAGTAATCACTTTAAAATTGGAATGTGTTTAAACATATCTAATTTTGGCTTTGTATAAACAGGACTTATCTCTCTGGGTCTGAAATTTCAGCACAAATTAATACCACCCATATCTACACAGCTTATCTGGTATATTGCTATAATAAATTAATTTCTAGTGCGAAGAGAAACTATCTTTTTAAACAGTGGCCAGAGGTCGTTTGTATGATTGGCATTTTCATCATATTACTAGCATATGTGGGGATGTGTGTTACCTTGTTGCTTTATATCAAAGCGAATTTTAATTAGCGTACAATGTAAATGTTTCTTGCCAAGTTAACAGCACTTAATATACTGTTTTCAACTGCACGTCCGATGAACTGTTATGTAGGTCTCACTTGATAGCCACATTCAAATGTAAATGAGTGCTTATAAAAGCATAATCCCAATAATTTTCAAACATTAAGAATATATCTTAAAGTAAGCACGTTCCTTCTGCTTTTATTTAGTCATTCACGACTCTTTGGAAGATCACGTTTCTGGAGTTGGTGTCACATGCCCCCTGGGCTACTTTCCGTGCGGCAACATTACAAAGTGTTTGCCTCAGCTACTTCACTGCAACGGTGAGGATGACTGTGGGAATCAGGCTGATGAAGACAACTGCGGTACGTGATTAAGATCTTTGTTTCTCTAGCTGCAGTCCGGCAGTCACTTAAACCCATACACTGCTGACACTGAGACAGCCGTGGAATATCAGCAGTAGGAAAGTTAAACGTATTGCAGAGGATATAGTAGTCACGCGGTTTCACTAATAACACCACCCAACAAGCCATTTGCTCAACAAAAAGGGCCATGTTTTTGTTTGCATATTATATCAGTTTATCCAGTTTTATCCCTGCTGCGAACTTGTTTGAGCATGTCATTTTGATGTGTATGTATGTATACGGTCTAGCAAAGATCCCTGCTGAGGAAAGGTGGACATATGCACTAACAGCATTTGTGTTATTTTTAATGTAACCTTCAAAGCTGGTTGGGAAACGTAATGTCGGATCAAGAAGAATTTTCAAGGTTTTTCAGAAATCTTTCATGTCCTAACTCAGGAGAAAAAAAAAAACCTTGACTTGTGTGTATGTGTGTGTGTTAGTGTGTGCACCTGTGTGTTTTACAAGATCCACTGCCCCCATGCTTTGGATTTGGAAAATGTCAAAATGTGAGGATATCCAAATAGTCCGACCATTGCTGCGTGTTATTGACATGCTCCTTGTCTCCCCTGGCCCCGCTGGGTAGTAGACTTGGTTCGTAGACCTAATCCCTGCTGCAAACTGGGTAGTGCCAGGGCATGGCTTCTGCACTGGCATTTGCCTGTCCGTGTGGTTTATTTGTGAGCCTGGCCCTGGCACAACTTTAGCTTGTGCTGAACACCATTCCCTCGTGCAGTGCCTGGGTGCAGCTTGGAGGGTAGCACAGGCCAGGGAAAGTTTGGGAAAGGCCTCTCTGTATTTTGTGAGAAGAGAGCTTAGCCATTTGGTTGTGAGCTATGGGCACAGGGAGAGAAAATCAGCCCTAGCGCATTTTATTTACCGGTATTGTCAACTTATTAACCATCTGGATATTTTCAGAGCTACTCTCTAGAGCTTCTCATCCATGGCAGATGGGGAAACTAGACTTCCTATTTCTTAGCAGCTTGCCTGTTACTGTGGAGGGCAGCCAGATGTCTAGCACCCTGCTGTCCCAGGGCTGAGCAGGTGAACTATCTGCTTATTCCAGCCAGGCATGGTATTGTCTGAAATTGGGGTGGGGGGTGGGGGCAGGGAGCAGATTCAAAAAAAAAAAAAAACCACAAGAGATTAAAATATGAAGTGAAAATATGAACTTCAAAGCTATAGTCACTGAAAAAGTCTCTGAAAGAAATAATTTGAAATGAAAGTATTATAAAAATATTTTTCACAAGTGTTCTTAGCAAAATGAATATGGTTTTGAAAACAGTCTCTCTTTCATTGGAGCAGCTTCCCTCCCTGTCCCCCACGACCTGGACCCAGTTAGGCTGACAAAAACTATGTTAACTAGCTCTGCTGTTTCCAAGAGATTCAGTTCACAAAGCAAACAAAATTTGCCAAGTGCCTGCCTAGTTCTACAGGTCAAAAATTTCAAACATTTCTAAGGAGTCATAAGTGACAGATATGCTAGCTAAGACTGTTAGAAAAACAATCCTGAAGCTCACTGGCAGCCAGCGGTTTATGATTCGCTAGAGCTATGCCATTTTTTTTAGCCCATGCCTCTCCTCTCACAGAACATAAACATGTTTGCTGGCCTTCAGTCCCTCTGGGTTGATCAGATGACAGGAGTTTCGCCTATATCCTTTTTGATTTTGACCAAACGTTGTTTTCCATTAATGGAAGGAGATAATTTCTGAAATGAATCAAATGTGTTGATTGTTGGTTGCACACCAACAAATAGAAAATGCAGAAATTCTCTTTGTGGTATGGTAATCACAACTGAACCTATTCCACAAATGCAGGTATCCCACCCCCAAGAAGTTAAAGTGGTCTTGTGTTGTAGCCAGGTATAAAACATCAAAGAATAGATCCTACTGTGTGCTGAATTTCTTCCATTTAGGTAGAAATCTTTCTAGAAAATCTGCTTTGGTCAAAAGGAAGTTTTTAGCCAGAGTAATGGCTGACTGAAATCCTAAGGTTTGCTTTGTACAGGTATGGCAAACCAGAAGTGTGAGGAATGCTTTCAGTTCTGGAAAGGCATCGTGAGGGAAGCTGGTCTTCATCTTTGCAGGACTTAGATGGGAAAGTGAAGTCCTCCTTCCTCTTTCTCGAGTTGTGATGTCCAAACATGGGCACTCTTCAGCTGGTTTTGCTCTAGTGCTGTTGGAGTAAGGGCTTTGTCATATGTCTGTCTTGGTCCAGCCCCTGATGATTCACCCCACTGCGAAGTTTGTTGTCTTCGCAAGCGTGTCACATCGATTCCTGTTCAGAACTCTCTGGCCCTCAGATGCATCTCTGCAGAGCTGTATTCTTCTCATTTGTTCTCACTGCATATCTGTGCAGCTGACTGGTGGGCCCACATGCAGCATCTTGTCTATAGGCCTATCAAATTCAAATTCCAGGATATTACTCCATTTGAAAAGCTTTTTCCAGTTTTATGTCACTTGTTGATGCCATAAACATACTTTCCTTTCCATTGCCAATAATGAAAATCTTGAATAAAACTGGCTTTTATTCTGTTATCCTTCTGTAACTATCTCATCCTACAGCGGCAGAAATTGTTGAAAGTGGTGCCCTGTTATGCTGAAGTCCAAGCACAAGTCAGCTCTTCATTGGGTTTATACATGTTCCATTTCTGTATAGTACCAGCAAGTCCATTTTGCAGGGGCTTGCTGAAAGTGCACAGTTTGATCAAATTATTAGGATAGACACAGATTTCATCATAGGTTATTTCAGATTGCGTAGCCTGCAAGACAATTCAGCTGCAATACTGAATGCACTTCTGGGTATAGCAATTCAGTAATAAATTATACTCAATTTCTGAAAGCCTGTTACAAAAGATGAAGAGTCATTGTACTGACTCATTGAGCAACCTAGGCTATTAGTGCTGTTCTCATATCATGAAGAGTAGCGGGGGGTTGTGATGGAAACGATAATACTGATGAAGAAAATGATGCAGAAGAAAACCCACTATTGAAAACCATAATACCATGTTTGAACAAAACAGCTATTCCAAACATAAAAAAACTCAAAGTCCAACTGCTTAACAGAAATCTTTAAGTGTACTGCATGTTAGTAGCAACTTCGATTACTGAAATAGTACTTTTAACTAATATCAGTGAAAGAAGCAAACAGAAAAGCAGTTAGCACAAAAATCGCACACAGTTCTTCCAGAAGAAAGGTACTTTGTAGAAGTCTTTAAATGCTTTTGAAACAAAAAGAAAAAAGCCTAGTTGCTTCTCCTATGGCTGGCAATCACGATGCGATGCAAAAGCAAGCTAGATATTCTTGTCTTGTGAATTAATTACTTTTCTTAGACTCTAAAACCTCCACATCGAATATGCTTGATTAGCACCACAGTTTAAGAGTTGACTGCCCACTACTCTACTGGATTATTGTTAATTTATTTTTGTTTGATATATGACGTTGTATGAGACGATAGAATTATCTACCAACCTATGTTTAGAAACAGATCACGCAAACCTTATTGTAGGCTGAGGGAAGCAACAGCGGTCCTTTTTGCAAAAGAGATCAAATACGAGTCTCCAAAACTGCTGAAACTAGTCATTCAGTCCTCTTTAGAAAGAGGTAAGAGGGGGCTGGTGTCTGGACTCCCCATTAACATGTAACTTGCCAGTTTGCCGGACTGCATGGAGTTTGTATCTTATTCCCTTTTCTTCTTGGCAAAAGCTTCTTCTGGACTCAGGCATCACTAGACTCCACCCACCAGATAGATATAGTGGATTTGTACCACAAACGTTTTGTAGATAGACACTCAAACTTGTTCTATACCATTTGCCTGAAAAGCTAGAGACATCAAAGGCTATTCCAAGTACCTTACAGCACATCTGCCCCATTTCTTCTTTCATTGAGCCAAGTTTAGTTTCCCACTTTATTCTTATGATGATATTTATTGTAGTAATCTTTGAAAAGATTTGCAATAGTACTTCTGTTTCATGCACTGCAAGCTTGGTAACAGCATAACATGAGTATAAATATTTAAAACTTAACTGACTCCTCCCTGAGAGATCTGCTTACAAATGTGCTGTAACTGCAGTTAATGTTCAACCCATGCACATAAAGATTTGTGCCTTCCTCAGATCTGCTTCATCTTTCCCTTCCCCCATGTTCTGCATGTCCACACAATAACTATAAACCTAAGGCACGGAGAAGTCAAATGACCTGAAATTAGGGTCGTGGCCGAGCCAGGAACAGATTCTAGGTCTCAGGCTTCCATGTTAGTGCTTACCCTCCGAGTGTGGGTGTTCTGCTGATCGGTTCAACTTGCGCATTTCTTCCCCTTCACACCCCTTCTGCAATGGGGTGAATCATAGCCAATATGTTAGAGTAGAATGAAGTCACTCATCTTTGAAAATTCGCATGCCTTTGTCACCCAGAAGCTTTTCCAAAACCAATAAACTGTGTGCTATCCTGATGGGGAAGGTTTGAGGCAATACAGCAGACTGCAATAAGAAGAGGAAGCTAGAAATTTATCATGCCCTAAGTCATGAGAGGTTCTTTCCAGAGTATCACCAGATAACCTTAACTGTGCATAGAAAACGTGATATTATCTTTTCAACTTGAAAACATATTCTGCCAGGCAGAAAGGGGCAGCTCTGCAAATCTTTCATAACTAAAATATTTTTAAATACAAATAATTATTTTAAAGTTTCATAATTTGTCATAAAAGCTTATAAATTTGAAGAATTTCCCTTTCTAAAGTTGAGTGTGGTAATCAGTTGTTCTCTGTTGTTCTGCCCAGTGCTCATACTTTCTGAAGGACTGAGTTCTTCATAAAAAGACCAAGTGTGATGTTGAATTGTTTAACCTATATAATATGTTTCAGTTGGAGCTACTTTTGTATCTGTTATCAAACCCAAAAGTTTTGGGAAAAGACAGTAATTCCAGCATCCTTCTGTGTCCAAGCTTGGATAAAGCTCAAGTTGGCA